ATTTGAGGGGAAAACTCTATGTTTTCCCCTCAAATGGCTGTGGCCCTGCCCCCAGCGTGCCTGGCGTCATGACGTCACTTCCCTGTGACGTGCACACGGGGGTGGGTTTTCCCCCAGGGCCTGATTCCGCCGGGGCGGAAATCGGGCCTCCGAAGCGGGGGTCTCCCCACCCCCCGGCCTGATTTGGCAGCCCTACTGCATGAATTTCCCAAGCCAGCGTTGGCAACTCTATGTCAAGCAGACCTGCCCTGATAATATTATGCAATTATAAATAAAATCATGTTTATGGAGAGGCAATTAGGAGATTAACGTATTCAAGCCTCCGCTAGAAGATAAAGTATCTCCAAGGGGAATTTTTGAAGGATGCTTCGGCTGCCTTTTGTGTCTTATCATCTCATCATATATTACCATATCGTCATATCGCCCACGATTCCCCGCCACCATTCTTGGCAGTCTTGAAGCTGTTTGCAAGGGCCGGATAAACTGGCAAACGGCACAATTAAAACAAAGCCGTCCAATTCCGCAAACAATAGCTTCATTTAGTCTAATTGGCGTTCAATACGCATTGTTTTCAAGTTGAATCTGCCGTGAAATTCGGCGGGAAAGCCAGGCTATAAATGAAGTCGGCAAGAAAATGAAAAAGTACTCCCCCAATGCCTTCTATGGTGTAAAACCCCACGCGGTCCTTAGTGGCTCCCCAAGGCCCATTCGAATAAATAACGACAGTTTTACTAGGGTTGCCAACTCCAGGTGGGGAAATTCAAGGAGATTTGGGGGAGCAGAGCCTGGAGGTGGTGGATTTGGGGGAGGAGAAGGAGATTGGCAGGGATTGTAATAGCATGGAATCTACCCTGAGGAGGTGGAGGAGATTGGATTCATACCCCACCCTTCGCTAACTGAAGGAGTCTCAGAGCATCTTACAATCTCCTTTCCATTCCCCTCCTCACAACAGACACCCTGCGAGGCAAGTGGGGCTGAGAGAGCGCTGAGAGGACTGCTCGTGAGAGAACAGCTCTGGGAGAACTTGTGACTGACCCAGGGTCACACCAGCAGCTGCATGTGGAGAAGTGGGGAATCAAACCCGTTCCTCCCAGATTAGAGTCCGCGCTCCTAACTGCTACACCAGAGGAACTGATCTGTGTCGTCTGGAGATCGGTTGTGATTCCGGGAGATCTCCAGGCCCCACCAGGAGGTTGGCAGCCCTGATTGTAACACCAGTTGCAAAAAAGAGCCCAACCTGAAGGCCCTCCCCATATCCTTGGGGGCAGCATTCTAACGGCCCGGAGCTACTCCCATGGAAGGTCGAGCCTAAGCAGTTGCCAACCAAACACATCTAACTAGATTTGCCAATCTCCAGATGGGGCCTTGAGTTCTCCTGGGATTACAACTGACCTCCAGCCTGCAGAGATCAGGTCCCCTCTGGTCCAATCCATCAGGGCTCTTTTTACATTCTCATGAGGGAGGGAAAGGCCTTGGCTTCTGTGCCCTGTTGCTGGCTGTCCAGAGGCCACTGTGTGAGACAGGATGCTGTAGATGGACTACTGGTCTGGTCCAGCAGAGCTCTTCTTCTTAGGTTCTTCACGGCATCCCTCGAAAGAGATCTTTGCTGTGTGTTTGAACTGAGTTTCTATCTCCTACCTTGAGTTTTAGTGAGAAAGGGAGGCTATAAATGAAGTAAATAAAAACTAAAACAAAACAGCCTGCATAATCCAGCATGCCACACAGGGAGAGAGACGGGAGCACGGGTCCCAGGACAATTGTAGAAAAAGCCCAGCAGGAACTCATTAGCATAACAGGCCACACCCAACAGCAGGAACTTATTAGCATAGTAGGCCATACCCTGACAGCACAGCATATTAGCATATTAGGCCACACCCCCATGTCACCAGAAGTGTGCTCATCCAGCCACACCCACCTTTTGCTTCTTATTCTGTTTACCTTGTTTGTTGTCAAAACCCTTCGCATGTTAGACCACACATCCTGAATGTAGCCAATCCTAATGAGTTTCTGCTGTTGGGTGTGCCCTATTATGCTAATGAGTTCCTGCTGGGCGTGGCCAACTCAGGAGCCAGTTTGAACTGAGTTTCTATGTTCTACCTTGAGTTTTAGTGAGAAAGGGAGGCTATAAATGAAGTAAATAAAAAATAAAATAAAACAAATCACCCTGCATAATCCAGCATGCCACACAGGGAGAGAAACGGGAGCACGGGTCCCAGGACAACTGGTCACTTAACGTAAGAACCTCAGAAGAGAACTGCTTGGTCAGACCAGTGGTCCATCTGTTCCATCATCCTGCCTCACACAGAGGCCAACCCGTTCCTCCGGAGGGCCAACAACAGGGCAGAGAGGCCGAGGCCTTCATAAGAACATCAGGAGAGCCCTGCTGGATCAGACCAGTAGGGGTCCATCTAGTCCGGCATCCTGCCTCACACAGTGGCCAACCAGTTCCTCCGGAGGGCCAACAATAGGACATAGAGGCCGAGGCCTTCCTAAGAACACCAGGAGAGCCCTGCTGGTCCAGACCAGTGAGGGTCCATCTAGTCCAGCATCCTGTCTCACACAGTGGCCAACCGGTTCCTCTGGAGGGCCAACAACAGGGCAGAGAGGCCGAGGCCTTCTTAAGAGCACAAGAAGAGCCCTGCTGGATCAGACCAGTGGTCCATCTAGTCCAGCATCCTGTCTCACACAGTGGCCAACCAGTTCCTCTGGGCGGCCAACAACAGGGCAAAGAGGCTGAGGCCTTCCCCTGATGTTGCCTCCTGGCTCTGGGATTCAGAGGCTTAATACCCCTGAATGTGAAGGTTCCCTTCAGTCACCATGGCTGGTAGCCACCGATAGACTTATCCTCCACGAATCCATCACATCCCCTTTTAAAGCTGCATATCCCTCTGGCAGCGAGTTCCACATTCAGCCAGGGAACCGAACGCGGCGATGTTAGACGGGCAGTCACAGCTGTTGCTCCGTTCCTTTCAGTCCATGGACATCGAGGTGGACGAAAACGGGACTTTGGACTTGAGCATGAACAAGCACCGCAAGCGCGAGAGCGCCTTCCCCAGCAGCAGCAGTTGCAGCAGCAGCCCCAGCATTAAATCCCCGGATGTCTCCCAACGCCAAAACAGCAGCAGTGCCACAAGCAGCACCATGACCTCACCCCAGTCCAGCCACACCTCCCGGCAGGACGAATGGGACGGCCCCATCGACTACACCAAACCAAATCGGCAGCGGGAAGAGGAGCCGGAAGAGGTAAGGGGTTACCAGGGGAGGGTCGGGAAAGGCAACAGGTGCAAACCCGAGGTTGGGTTTCGTTTTCCGCAATCATAGTGGCATCCCGTAGATCCATCTGGGAAGCCATTCCACAAAAGGACAAGGCGGTAGTGCTTTAGGCCTAGCGGCCACGGAGCTCTGTATCCCCTGATCTTTTAAAAAAAAACTTTGCTCTTATTTCAATTTTTGAAAGGTTCAGAAATATCTTACGTAGTTGTTATGTATCGTGCCTACATGCCTGAGCTTCGTATGTTCAGCCATCTAAGGCTGGTATTGTAAACAGCACATTCTGATTGGCTACTCTGCGCAGTAGACCAGTCAGAACCATAGAGAGGTTCTGGAGGGAACCGAGTTCATTGGTCCTTATGTTGATATTTTGATTGGTTCTTAACTCACCAGTGGGCGTGGTTATACAAGCCTGGTTAGTTTAAAAGAGAGCCTGTTACTCTCATGTGTGTGTTTGTTCCTGTCTTGTTCTAATAAAGCTGAATCACTTGTTAATAGGGTTGCCAAGTTGGATTGGCACTGGAGCGGGGGACACCATAGAGTTTTCCCTCGGATGACCGTGGCCCCGCCCCCAGCGTGCCCGGCATGGTCGCGTCACTTCTGGGTGACGTGCATGTCGCGTGCTTTGGGGGTGGGGTTCCCCCCGGGGCCCGATCCACCACCGGCAGGGAACGGGCCTCTGGGGCGGGGGTTTCACCGCCCCCTGGAGGGAATCGAGTTCATTGGTCCTTATGTTGATATTTTGATTGTTTCTTAACTCACCAGTGGGCGTGGCTATACAAGCCTGGTTAGTTTAAAAGAGAGCCTGTTGCTCTCATGTGTGTGTTTGTCCCTGTCTTGTTCTAATAAAGCTGAATCACTTGTTAATAGGGTTGCCAAGTTGGATTGGCACTGGAGCGGGGGACACCATAGAGTTTTCCCTCGGATGACCGTGGCCCCGCCCCCAGCGTGCCCGGCATGGTCGCGTCACTTCTGGGTGACGTGCATGTCGCGTGCTTTGGGGGTGGGGTTCCCCCCGGGGCCCGATCCACCACCGGCAGGGAACGGGCCTCTGGGGCGGGGGTTTCACCGCCCCCGGGGGGGGACTTGGCAAGCCTACTTGTTAATGAGCTGCCTGAAGTCTCATACCTAACAGTACTCAGTTCAAGTTTCAGTCATAAAGTAGACAAAACAGTAGCCCCAACAGCCGAAACAAAACCCCTGCTAAAATACAAACACCAATCCTGTGGCCTTTTCATTCTGGTATTTATTTATTATTTATTTTATTTATAAGTTAGGTTCTTACCTTGCCCTCCCGGCTCAGAGCAGCTTACGTAAAACAGTATAATATAAAATGTAACATCCAGTAATACACAAGAATTCTTAAAACCATAACTATAATGATACCGTAAAGTGCTAGTGCTTAGTTTCCTCGTCATACAGTCAGTTCCTTAATTATCTTCGGTTATCCTGGGCGGCCAGTTCGGGCAGTAGTTGGAGGATCCAGGGGATCAGAGCTCTCTCGTTGTAGGCTATCAGATGTCAGTAGTGGTGGCAGTTCCAAAGGCCTGGCGGAAGAGCTCCGTTTTACAGGCCTTGCGGAACTGCAGCAGGTCCTCCGGAACCTTCCATGTGGGCGAGCCAAAGGGGCTCTCTCGGCCAACAGAACAGAAATGCGCAGAAGCCCAGAGGTCTGGGGCACAGCAGGGAAGCCATGTGACACAGCGGGGGTCCCCGACAATGCTCCTCTAAGCTGTGGAGTCTTGTGGGGGAAAATTCTACTTAGTGAGCTGCTGGCATTAAAACTGTGAGCGAGCGATATGCATAAATTAGTTTGCTCTGGAGCCGTCCTTCCTGAGCTAAGACAAAAATCTGTGCGCCAGAGGCTGAAACACTGTGAGCTCGCTCACACTAACTAACCTTAAAGGGAACACTGGTCCCCAACCTTTTAAACCCTGCATGTAGCCTTTGGAGTTCCAACACGGAACACTGGTCCCCAACCTTTTAAACCCTACATGTAGCCTTTGGAGTTCCGACACAGCATGGTGGGCACAGCCAGAAAATGGCTGCTTTGGGAGGCGGAGCCAGCCAGAAAACGGATGCCGCGGCTTTCCTTCATGCACACAGTTGAAGACCCTTGCACCATGGTGGCAGGTGCTGCCAAAGCAACATCTTTAAAAGCTGCCCAGCCAACCAAATCTCCAGTGACCAATCAGAAACCTTAGAGGGGAAAAGCCCCACCTGGCCCTGCCCACATTCCAAAAACTCTTGGCAGGCACCAGGAAGGGAATTGGCGAGCACTATGGTTCAGGCTCGTAGCCAGGAATTTCTAAACCGAGGGGGCATTTAAATACCTTGGGGGGCACTGGGGCACTGGCTAATTCAATTAAATGTAATTTAATTAACTCGATCAGTGCAGCGCAGGGGAGAAGGGTGCAGCACAGGGGGAAGGCGAGGAGAAGCAGCAGCCACGGCAGCGCGGGGGAGCTCATGTTGGCCACTGCATCTTACCAGAGAGATGGTGGGGCTGGGCCGAAAGGAAGTCAGGGGGCCTTGGTAGGAAATCAGGGGGCTGGGCCCCGAAATGCCCCACTGTAGCTACGGGCCTGCCATGGTGCCCGCAAGCGGCATGTTGGGGACCCCGGCAATATGGGATTCACCTCGCCCCAAATGATAATCCCACCACCACCACCACAAGAACTGCTTCCTCTGTTGGAGGAAATAAGCAGTCTTGGGAGCAGTGGCAGCAGCAAGGAAAAAAATTGTTCTTTCTTTAGGGAGTGCTACTGATTTTCCAGGACAGCAGTGTGATTTCGTGGCATTTTCTTTTTTGTTTTTACCAATGTAGTATTCTCTGGACATTCACAGACTACCAGATTTCCTGGGGCAGGAAGATCCTGGGTTACTATGTGGATCTCTTGGATGCAGTTCTCTCTTCCACCTGAGACCGGTGGTACCTGAGGATTTCCAGGCACTGCCTGGCAAACAGCAGCTGTTTACAGGAAGTTCTGGTCATGGAGTCCCTGACCATTCCTAGAGCTGTGCAGAAATGGCAAGAGTAGCTCTAGCAATGGCTAGGGGCTGTATGGTAATCTTAGTTTCTAGTGTTTCTAGTGATTGCCAGAGCTACGTCTGTCACTTTCTGGTAGCTCTAGGAATCATCAAAAACTCTATGGTCCTGTAAGTAGACAAGGCCTTATTTTTCTTTTTAAATTTTATCCCCAGGACGATTTATCACCCAACCCCACCTTTTGCCCCAGTTTCTACCCACTGATCAACTGGGCCTCAGCAGGCAGGGGCTGCAATTGGCTAGAAGTCTCCCACCATTAGGGGCTGCAGTGGCTCAGAGGTTAAGACGCTGAGCTGCAGACCAGAAGGTCTGTAGTTCAGCGGTTCAAGACCCGAGTGCCGCATGATGGAGTGAGCTCCCGTCTCTGGCCCCAGCTCCTGCCAACCTACCAGTTCGAAAGCAAGAAATTGCAAGTAGATAAATAGGTACTGCTTTGGTGGGAAGGTAACAGCGTTCCGTGCGCCTTGGCGTCTAGTCACGCCAGCCACATGACCACGGAAACTTCTTCGGACAGTGCTGGCTCTTCAGCTTGGAAACGGAGATGAGCACCGCAACCCTAGAGTCGGATTCAACTGGCTTTTGAGCAAGGGAAACCTTTACCTTTACTCCCACCATAAAAGGGCAAATGTGAATCCTATGGTATGTAGAATAGAGAGCTGGTTTGTAGAATAGGAAGCCCGGTTTGATTCCTCTTTAACAGTGGCCCCGCAAAGAGTACAAGGGCCCAACTGAACTTACGAGAGAGTCATTCCGACACACCTTTTGCCGATTTCTTGCAGTCGGAGCCTGCGGTCCGATCTTTCGCTTCTTCCGAAGTGGATGACCAGGAAGTACCCGAAGAAAACTTCGAGGAGAGGAAATACCCGGGGGAGATCACCTTAACCAACTTCAAGCTGAAGTTTCTCTCCAAGGAGATCAAGAAAGAGCTGCTCACGTAAGTCATGCCACTTGAGAGAGGAAACCACGTAGCAAGAGGCAGGAAGTGGGGCAGGTTCCTTGGTGGGGGGAAATGGGGGGGGGGGGGGATTCCTGAGGGGGGGGGAGGAATCCTGGTTCATTGATGTTTCAACTGGGAAAAGCTGCTATTGAAGCCAAACACCCGAAATTGAATGCTTTCAAGAGAAGCCTCATGATTCGGCTGTTCCTGATGGTCGAGATGACGTGCCGCTCTGTACAGTCACCCATAAATGTGCTGTGATTGAAAGAGGAGTGGAGAAAACAACTCACTCCGGAATGTTAGGATTCGTTGTTTTTTTAAAAAAAGCATAATTCCTTTGTACTTATTTCCTTTCAAACTCTGGCTAGCTTCTCTAATTCTGCATGGAAAGAACGAACCTCTTGCCAAATGTTCTTGCTTCCTTGTTTACAACGCATCGTGGTGTTTTTCTTTGAGCTGTATTTTTGAAATCCTCCACTTTATGCAGAACATCCTATAACCAGCAATGTCACGCTTGCCCCAGTGGTTTGGGGCTGAGGGAGGGTGGATAAATGGGGGGGGGGGCTTTTTGCAGGCATGAGTAATTCAGAATTTCGCGTGCAGATGCCAAGATGTAGGTCTTCCAAAGGGAATCTGCATTTCATCTCCAAAATCCGTGGTAGCTAGAGTTAGAATATTAGAATGCCTTTGAAAATAACTTCAGAAAATTCCCTCTTTCTGCATGTGTCTCCTGAGAACGTTTGCTGCTTGATACAGAAATTGGAGATTTGGATTTTTAAAGTTGGGGGAGGTAATTAACACGTGGGATTCACTGCCACAGGGAGTGGTGGCGGCTACAGACAGCTTCAGGAGGGGGTTGGATAAACATACGGAGCAGAGGTCCATCAGTGGCTATTAGCCACGAGGGATACAGGGAACACTCTGTCTAGGGCGGTGATGCTCTGTCTTCTTGGTTCTTGGGAGGGGTTCTGGAGTTCTGGCCCCACTGGTGGACCTCCTGGTGGCACCTGGGTTTTGGCCCCTGTGGGACACAGAGTGTTGGACTGGATGGGCCATTGGCCTGATCCAACATGGCTTTCTTATGTTCACTTAACCTGCTCAGAGGGGGGGAAAGATACACAGCAATATTTGTGAGCACTCAGTGAAATTAATGAGCAGTGGACTTAGAATGGATAAAAGGAAGTCCTTCTTCACCCAAAAGTAATTAACACGTGGAATTCACTGCCAAACATAGACGGCTTCCAGAGGGGATTGGATAAACATATGGAGCAGAGATTGGACTGGGTGGGCCACTGGCCTGATCCAACATGGCTTCTCATCCAACATGGCTTCTCTTATGCTCCTAGATTCTTATGAGGTTGGTCAAACTTGGTCTTAAAACATGAAATGCCATGTGAAAAACTGAGATCACCAACGCATACCCTCTTTGTCTCACACACACGCACGCATACACACTGCAATCTGCAAGCTATTCCCAAACCAAATCTAAAACCCAACTTGAAATCCAACATGACATTTCAAAATCTGGAGTCTGTCTCCATGAACTCTCTCCTAACTTGCTACAGGGTCTTTATCAGAGAGAATTCTGGTACAAGATTTGATGCTATGATACAATGGAAAAGTTCTCAGGTTAAGGTGACCACAGTAGGATGGCCCTTAATGAAATGCACAAGTCCCATCCCATGACTATCCTCAATGTTAGCTCCTCCCACATACCCTCATAAGCCACAACCCCAGCTCTGTTCCTACCGGGTGCTCTCCAAATGATTCAGAGAGTTCTGGGGTCATTTTGAGCCAGTCTTAGGAGGACCTGTACCCAGTGAGCAGAAAAATACCTGGGAATCTTACTCCATCTTCAATTGAGACTACAAATGGTACCAGAAACCAACAATATAAGGACATCAGAAGAGCCCTGCTGGATCAGAGTAGTGGTCCATCTACTCCAGCATCCCATCTTGGACAGTGACCACCTGGTTCCTCTGGAGGTCCAACAAAAGAGCATAAAGGCCGAGGACTTCACAAGAACATCAGAAGAGCCCTGCTGGATCAGAGTAGTGGTCCATCTACTCCAGCATCCCATCTTGGACAGTGACCACCTGGTTCCTCTGGAGGTCCAACAAAAGAGCATAAAGGCCGAGGACTTCACAAGAACATCAGAAGAGCCCTGCTGGATCAGAGTAGTGGTCCATCTACTCCAGCATCCCATCTTGGACAGTGACCACCTGGTTCCTCTGGAGGTCCAACAAAAGAGCATAAAGGCCGAGGACTTCACAAGAACATCAGAAGAGCCCTGCTGGATCAGAGTAGTGGTCCATCTACTCCAGCATCCCATCTTGGACAGTGACCACCTGGTTCCTCTGGAGGTCCAACAAAAGAGCATAAAGGCCGAGGACTTCACAAGAACATCAGAAGAGCCCTGCTGGATCAGAGTAGTGGTCCATCTACTCCAGCATCCCATCTTGGACAGTGACCACCTGGTTCCTCTGGAGGTCCAACAAAAGAGCATAAAGGCCGAGGACTTCACAAGAACATCAGAAGAGCCCTGCTGGGATCAGACTAGTGCTCCATCTAGTCCAGCATCGTGTCTCATATAGTGGCCAAATAGTTCCTCTGGAGGACCAACAATAGGGCATAGAGGGCAAGCCTTTCCCCTGATATTGTTGAACAGAAAGCTGGGGGTGAAATGTCTCCCAGCCATTTCACTCATTGCTTTTTGCTCACCACCAAAAGCCACAGTGAGCAGAAAGCTGGGGGTGAAATGGCTCAGAACCATTTAAACCCTTGCTTTCTGCTCCTCACCGTTTTTCACAGGAAGCAGTTGTTTAAACTTTAAGTGGCTCACGAACTGATACAAACCAGTTCAGTTCACGAACCACAAACTGAATCGCAAGAATGGGGTTCGTGCCCATGCTTAATTGCCTCTTCCTGCTGTGCTGCACTGAAATGAAAGAGCCTCTGTTGTTGTTTTTTGGTTCCTGTTACCAACACACACATGCACACCAAAAAAACCCTGCAGACTTTTGTTAGATATGATATACTCGGATTTCTCTTCCCCTTTATTCTCATTATGATCTTGAGTAGTGGAAACCAGAAAGGGATACATCCTGCAGTGCTGGAGCTGTTCACAATCAGCCTTGCTTCTCACCATCCTCAATAATTTGCCATCGTCCCCAAACTGGCCTCTACCCTGCTCACCCCCAGTTCCAGACCATTTATGAACCAATGAAATGACACCGGCCACAATATTGACCCTTGTGGGACCCCCAGGGCTCAGTTCCCTCCATTGCAAGAACTGTCCATGTATTCCTGCTCTCTGCTTCCTGTTGTTTAAGAAACTTTTGATCAATAATATGACTGCTATGCCTCCTCAGTAGTCTTTGGCAGTGTTTCCTCTAAGCTGAGTTAGTGTGAGCTTGTTGTTGTTCAGTCGCACAGTCGAGTCTGACTCTTTGCGACCCCATGGACCAGATCACGCCAGGCCCTCCTGTCTTCTGCCGTCCTCTGAAGTTTGCTCAACTTCATGTTCGTTGCATCTATGACACTGTCTAACCATCTCATCCTTTGCCGCCCCCTTCTTCTTTGACCTTCAGTCTTTCCCAGCGTCAGGGTCTTCTCCAGTGAGTGCTCCCTTCTCATTGGGTGGCCAAAGTATTTGAGCTTCAGCTTCATTATCTGGCCTTCCAGGGAACAGTCAGGGTTGATTTCTTTTAGGATGGACTGATTTGATCTTCTTGCAGTTCAAGGGACTCTCAAGAGTCTTCTCCAGCACCATAGTTCAAAAGCATCTATTCGTGTTCCCTCTAAGCTGAGTGAGTGTGAGCCAGCTCACAGTTTGTTAGCCTCTGGCTCACACATTTTTGTCCTAGCTCAAGAAGGAGGGCTCCAGTGCAAACTAATTTATGCAGTAACCAAATTGCGGGCTCACCCCCTTAATGCCAGTAGCTCACAAAGTAGAATTTTTGCTCACAAGACTCTACAGCTTAGAGGGAACATTAAGGTATCAAGGCCCTGTGGAAGTCCGAGTATATCATAACTAACAAATCACCCTCATCCACATGTGTGTTAACCTTCTCCAAGGACTCTAAAAGGTTGGCGAGGCAGGATGTCCCTTTTGTGGAAGCCATGTTTATTTCCCCTCGGCAGGCTTTGTTGTCTCTGGGAGTTCCACGTTCAGAACTGAATTGCCAGGAATGTCGGGGCCCAATATGGACTCTTAGAGAGCCAGTTTGGTGTAGTGGTTAAGTGTGCGGACTCTAATCTGGGAGAACCGGGTTGGATTCCCCACTCCTCCACTTGCACCTGCTTGATGTGACCTTGGGTCAGTCTCCCCACTCCTCCACTTGCACCTGCTGATGTGACCTTGGGTCAGTCACAAGCTCTGGCACAGCTGTCCTTGAAAAAGAGCAGTTTGTGTCAGAGTTCTCTCAGCCCCACCCACCTCACAGGGTGTCTGTTGTGGGGAGGGGAAGGGAGAGGAGTTTGTCAGCCGCTCTGAGACTCCTTCGGGTAGTGGATGGCGGGGTATAAATCCAATCTCTTCTTCTTCTGCTGCTGGAACTGCAGCATAAGGGTTGCGGGGGCTTTCCCCCCCCCAGACCCGTAGCCAGAAGTTCTAGGTTGGTGGGGCATGGGGAAATTTTGTGGGGCAACAAAGGAGGGGAAGGAGGGAGGGAGGGGGGAGGGAGTCCAAGTGGTGAAACTCCAAGTGGTGAAACACACTCTCCTCCCTCCAGCAAAGCCACAGCTGAAGGAGCAGGGAAGGGAATCACTGTTTGGAGGAGATTATTGTATTGGGGGGAGGAGGGAACGACCATGGAAGGGCTCATGAGTATCCAGTACCCCAAAGGTCCATAGAAGAATGGAGCCGGCCCCATGGGAGACCCTCTCAATTGCCAGGGTGGCTTCCTAAACAGACGTAGGGGTAGCCTGGCCTTACGGAATCCAAAGACATCTGCAGCAATGCTCAATTGTGCGCGAAGCCTTAATGCATAGAGAGG